TGTTTTTGTTCCTTCTGAAGTCCACAATCATCTCCTTTGTCTTCTTCACATTGATGTGAAGGTTATTCTCTTTGCACCAGCTCTCCAGGTGTTCCACCTCTCCTGTAGCTGGACTCATCATTGTTTGTTCGCCCCATCATTTAAGAAAGCTATTCTTTGTAGTTTTTATATTGCTTTAAAGTTTAATTTCCTCAAATGACTGGGGTGGCTGAAGATTAATTTGATGGCCTAGGACACCACTGATCACCCACTGTCTCCTCCAATGCCCCTCACCAGGATTTGTCACTCTGCATCAGATGAGCAAAAAAACCAAAACCTCCCTCTGTTCTTCTCCACACTGTCATTCCTCCACACTTAAATATCTTGCACCAAAACATTGTTTACTTAGATTCCCTTTTTAATTCTAGTCCAGAAAAACACATCCAAAAAATAAAACCACAATCATTCATTATTCAAATCTTGCTTTGGTCATTGTTTTGTTGAAACACCTGATTGTGTCCAAGTTTTATGTAGATTTTGTGCATAGTCCTCCACCACCATCTGAACCACATTATTATACTATCACCACCATGCTTGATAATGGTAGTGTTTTTAGGTTTGCAAGCCTCACCATGACTCCTCCAAGTGTACACTGGGCAGCTTCAGTTTTCAGACAAGACTGAACGCGTCTCTTTTGGAGGAGAAACTTTGTTCTTGGTTTCCTCCCTCTCGGTCAACTGGTTTTAATGTGGATGGCAACACTGGTGAACCAGCGGTTTCCATTTGGTAGTAGGTTTGGGCCTTGAAGGTCCTTGGCTTGTTTTTGAACATCTTAACCAATTTCCTTTGACTTAAGTGACACAGGTGAGTACAGGTGACTCCATTAAGTCCTGTGAATAAGAAGGTACCAAATGCAGTCAACCATACCACACCACACCACTTTATTTCTAAAGCACTTAAAATGCAACCAAGCTGCTGACTGAAGTGCTGTACAAAAAATCAAAACGGAGAACAACAATAAAGCAATAAGACAACTTTAAGAAAATAGAAATCAAAGCATCACAAATACAAGTAAAAGAATACAACATTAAGACACAGACGCTAGCTCACTCTAGGGTAATGGCTAAAGAAAAAAGTGGGCCCATCACTTTCTGTTTTTAAAACTCATTTTAAAACAGAAAGTGATGGGTCCTGTCTGACCTTCAGTGGCAGCTCATTCCACAATTTAGGAGCCAGAGCTGAAAAGGCTCCGTCTCCTCTGGACTTTTATAAAAGGTATTCGGGTCTGCTAAAAACATCTGGTCAGATGATCTAAGAGCATGTGATAGCATATTACGGTGAAGTAGTTCAGACAAATAAGAAAAACTGAAACCATCCAAATACTTAAAATCAAAGAATATAACTTTAAAATGGATTTGAAACTGAACAGGAAGCCAATGAAGGAACACCAAAACTGGAGTCGTGCTCTCGTTTACCCGTACCAGTTAAAAATCGTGCAGCAGCATTTTGTACCAGCTGTAAACGTGAGAGGGAGGCCTGGTTAACTCCGATCAAAAGAGAGTTACAATAATCCAGTGAAGTAATAAAAGCATGGATCACTGTCTCTAAGTAGCACCTAGAAAGGAGGGGCTTGATTTTTGACAGGTGCCTCAGCTGAAAGAAAGACAGCTTAACCATGGCACCTTTAACATGGCAGTCAAGTTTAAGGCAGGGATCCATTTTCACCACTTAATTTGTAACAGTGGATTTTTTGTATGGAGCCAAAGAGGAAAAATCAAAGGTGGGGACACTGCTACGACCACTGGATTTAAAGACTGTAACCTCAGTCTTTTTTGTTTGTTTGTTTGTTTTCATTAAAATGGAGGAAATTAAATGCCATCCACCCTCTAATGTCATTGAAACAGTCCAGAAGAGATTGAGGGAGTCATTATGTTTCAAAGGGAAGTAGACTTGACTGCATATAAATGAAATTGCACACCATGCTTTCTGAAAATAGAACCCAGTGGCAGAAGGTAAAGTGACACTAGCAGAGGACCAAGAGTAGAGCCTTGGGGTACCCCACCATGGGAGGGCAGCTTATACAGAGGTAAAATTATCTATCATCACACTGAAACCATCATCACTAATAAGTTATTAGACCTTGGCCTTGTCAGATTAAGACATTTTGAAACCTTCAGCACCCCTTATTAAAAAGTTTAGGTGAATATATTTATATTTTTGTGCTTCTATGTCTATATTCTGACCTTGTGTGGATTTTTAAAAATTATCAAAGTTGTATGTTATTGATTTCATATAAAGCCCAAAATCAATACGGCATCCTTTATCCCATCTGATGCGACTGTGAGCCTCGGCTCTATCACTGACCTCTAGAAACTTTACACACTCTTAATACATGTTGTGTTTTGCCTCCAGTGGTCGTCCAGCGAGGAGCTTTCCACTGCGTGTCTTCCAAATTACCGCACCATGAATCCCTGCCCAGTGTACGAAAAGAACAGCAATACCCTGTTCCTGTTTTTCGTCTGTGTTCTGGGAAACACCACTGAGTTAAAGCAGATCCTCACAGGTAAGAACAAGGCCCGTCTGTGCTTGGTGAGCAGCAGCGACGACGGGCAAACTTGGAGCAAAGTGACAGACTTGACAGACGGCGTGATCGGGGAAGCCGTCCACAAATGGGCCACGTTTGCCGTGGGCCCCGGCCACGGCGTTCAGTTGGAGGGCGGCAGGTTGATCATCCCTGCGTACACCTACTATATCCCCTACAGATGCTGCTCTTTCCCCGTTCCCTTCACGGTGTGCCCACGTGCGCTCACGGTTTACAGTGAGGACTTTGGACAGACATGGCGCATCGGTAAGATGCTCCAAAAGAAGTCGTGCGAATGTGAGATGGCGGAGATAATCGACCATGAGGGCAGGAGCCATCTTTACTGCAACGCACGTCACAGCGGGGGCCACAGGTGCGAGGCCCTGAGCGCAAACAGCGGCGTGTACTTCGACAAGCCCCACATGGCCTCGGAGCTTGTCGAACAGCCCAAAGGCTGTCAGGGCAGCGTCATCGGCTTCCCCGCGCCCGAATTCGTCCCAAACGACGACACCGAGAGCAAGGCTTGCGGCACGTCCCTCCTGTCACCAGACACGCAGACTTGGCTCCTCTTCACGCACCCGACTAACAAGTCCAGCCGAAGGGACCTGGGAGTGTACTTGAACCGGTCACCCCTGCACTCCTCTGGCTGGGACAGGCCCAGAATCATCCACAGGGGTCCCAGCGGTTACTCAGACCTGGCCTACAACGTGGACAAGGACCAGTTCTCCTGCCTGATGGAATGCGGGAAGGAAAGCGAACTGGAGCAGATCTCATTCACAACGTTTTCCCTCAACGACGTCATGCAGACAGGCAACAGGAAAGACAAAAAGACCCTCTGAATTAGGGTGGTTTGAATGCTCTCCTAAATTTACAAGAATCCAATTAAAAACTCACTCCTGCTGTGCAGTAACATCTGTCTGTGTTTATTATTGTTCTACATTCTGGAGCTGTTAATGCATGAGTCATGTGTTTTATGGTCTCATTGTTCACAGGAGTAAATTAAGTACATATTATGCAAGTGTCTGTATTAAAAGAACTATTTTTAGAGGTTAGGCGGTTGAATTTTAGCATGCTGCGTTTGGAAGACGGGCTTTGTGCGTGGCTCGTTTTGATCAGTGCTCATCTTATTGAACTGTCGGTCTTTTCGAACGGTGAAGAGAATCAGCCTACCTCTTTGTTTCCATCGTACAGGCCTTTTTAAGTAGAGCGCAGTGTACCCTTCTTTTACTTTTCCTGTCCTCTACTTCACGTATGCCTTGAGACTCAGGCTGGGCAGCAGCTGTCGGCACAAACCCATAAGGGTTGCAGGTATATTTTACTTTATATGTTCAGCTTATCAATAACCAACCCAGAGCGATTCATAAAGCAGCTCATTCTCCACGTTAAAGATTTTAGATGTGAGTGGATTTTACAGAAGGGTTGAGCAGCAGTAGGGTTTTTTGCCTCAGGTGGAGGAGTTCTGGTATCTGGACATCTTGTTTCTGAGTGATGGCAGGATGGAGCTGGAGATGGATTGACGGATCGAGGTCTCGTCCTCAATAATAAAGCCGTTGCTTCAGTCAGTCAAGGTGAAGAAAGAGCTGAGTAGAAAGGCAACGCTGTCGATTTACTGGTCTGTCTGCATTCCAACCCACATCTATGGTTATTGGATCATGACTCAGAACCAGATCCTGGATCCAAGTGGCCGAGATCAGCCTTAGAGATAGGGTGGGGAGCTCGGAGTAGAGCCGCTGCTCCATCGCATTAAAAGGACTCAGTTGAAGTGGGTAGGATGCCTACCTTTGAAGGTTTTCCAGGCACATCTATCTGAGAAGAGAACCAGGGGCAGACCCAGAACTCTGGAGGGATTAAATATCTTCTCTGGCCTTGGAATGCCTCGGGGTCCCCCAGGAGTAGCTGGAGAGTGTTGCTGAGTAGAGGGAGGTTTGGGTTTTGCTCCTGGACCTGTTTCCACAACCAGACTACTGATAAGCGGTAGAAGATAGAGCTGGATAGAGTGGTCCATTCAACACGCATCACGATGCTCCAAATGTTTTCTAGTTTTACCAGTGTTGCACAGAGGCTTGTTACTACAGCTTGTTTCTAGTATACTGTAGTAAAAATAGAATACCATCAAAGCAGTTGTACGGTTACATTGTTCTGATCGGACCAAATGTATGTTGAGTGTTCAGTAGCGCTAATGAAGGTTACACCTCTCTAAAGTACACAATGTTGGGGAATTGTACTTAAAATAAGCATGAATATGTGTCCTAGTATAGATATATGTGGCTACCCCGAAAACAGTGACCGAGACGGTAACGGTAACGCTCTGCAAACTGAAATATATAATCCAGGCCTCAAAATGGACATGGAACAAATAAGAATACATGACTTTACAACAAGAACTGTGATTTAAGGACACATTTTATTCCTTCTTTTGTAAAAGTCAGCATGAGCTCAGTCATCCTGGCAAACGTTAAGAGGCTTGTTTGCTCCGTGGATCGTTTGGCAACTTTCTCCAGCTTTTTTTTTTAATGCTTTTTATTTGTTTTTGTCCTAAAGTTAACTAAAGTCAAAGCTTAAAGCCAAGTTTTTAATATAGTGTTTCTCTCCCCCCAGCCTTGATGTCATGTTAAAATATTTGGCTCATAAATATTTGGATCATGTTGAGATCTTTTATAAATGTTTTTGGCATCAAACTCGTTCCCCAGTCTTTGTTCTAGTTCCACAATTAATGTCTCAAAACATTCATCTCCATCAGGACATTCCTGTTGTGACTTGATGTTTGTGAAATTTTTACAGTTTTAAATATTTAGCTTTGTCGGCCATGTTTTTCTTATTGAAAATGAACGGAGCTCTCTCACAATCTTAAAACCTTTTGAGCTGTTTAAAACCTTTTACTGCTTATTTTAGTGTTTGTCCTGGTTTAGCTTTTTGTTTTAACTTGTTTTCTGCTATTTTTATCATATTTCAGCTCCTTTTAGCTCATTTATGCTCATTTCAGCTTTATTCTACTTTTTTTTAATTTTTTTATTTTTCCTGCTCATTGTGGCCTATTTTCTGCAAATTTCAGCTTCTTTTGGCTAATTTCAGCCAATTTTTGCTTTCTCAGCAAAATTTCAGCAATTGTTTTCTGCAAATTTTAGCTTTTTGGTTACTTGTGAAGCAAGTTTTAACTTGTGTGCACTCTTCAGCTACTTTCTGCCTATTTCAGTTTTTGTGCTTTTTTAGCCTCTTTCTGCTAATTTTAGCTGTTTATGCTCTTAGTCTTCTAATTTCACCTTTTAAAATTTTTGTTTGCCTGTTTTCTGCTAATTCAGGCTTCTTACACTCCATTCAGCATTTTTCTTCTAGTTTCAGCATGTCCCAACTCTTAGTTACTTTCTGCTAATTTCACTTTTTTCATCTAATTTCAGCTATTTTTTGTTGTTGATTGTTTCAGTTGTTTACATTTACTTTCAGCTTTAGTTTGTTGATAATTTCAGCTTTATTTTTTTGCTCCTTTCAGCTTCGTCGTTCTACTTTTCAGCTATTGAAGTGTTTCCAGTAAGCTTTAGCTTGTTCGGCAGCTTTGAGCAAAATCATTTAGCAACGAGCTACATCGTGTTACACTGCATTTTCACAGGAAATTTTTCTAATTATCTTTTTTAATAAAAGGAAAATAAACTGGACTTTATGGTTTTAACATTAATAATTGGCTCTGCTTCTTTGTGATGAGGCCACATTTATTTAATTAAAAGATAAAAAATGTCATCAGTTATATCAGATAAACTTATTTACCGATTTATTTTATTTGCAAACCAGATCATATTTATTAGCTCTGCCATGTTTCAGTAGATTTTATGTTCTTTTAAGTATTTATTTCAAGCAAGCAGAAGGATATATTTTTAAAAATAAGCGTGTGACTGTGATTGGGTACAATAAGCTTTCTGCACAGGAATGAAAAGATGTCACTGTAGGCTTTGGTTTTAAAGCCACTTGGAGTTTGCACATATTGTATAAACTTTAAACTAATTGTTAACAAGACCTCAGACCTTCCTGCTCTGGTTTCAATGTGTTTCCATTAACTGTTGTGGTCAAAATCTGCATGAAATGTATTTTAGTTTAAAAAAATAAAACAATTCTGTGATCACCTAACTCGTGTTTTGTTTGTTTATTTTATACTTTCTTTTTCAGATTAGTGAAACCTGTTGGTCACAAATGAGACATAAAACATAAAATGTGATTTTGAATGAATTAAACCTCAGCTCGTGGGAGCACTGCAGTCCCTCTGCTGCTGGTAGAGGGCTTTGGGGACGAATGAAGGACAAACACTTTATCTTTTTGTTATAGTAAGTTATTATAATCTTTATTTTACAAAACATGACATCAAATGTTTATCAGAAGAAATATAATGTTATCATTTATGGGTGAGCATTATTACCAGGACTCTGCAGAAACTGAAGCAAGACCATTATCAGTCAGTGTAACCGAGTTCGGATCCTTAGAAGTAGAGACCTGTGGAAAGGTTACGAACAATTAATATCTTACCTGTTGTAGATGGATCTTGAACAAACTCTGTTTGGACAAATAGAGTGTAATTTAGATCAGACTGAGCAGGGATTACTGCCGTCTTGATCATTAATTTCAGACTGCACGTCCATATACACTGTGAGATATTTGGAAACACAAATAGCAGCAGCTAGCTGTAGCACATGGGGCACTTCCTGTGGAAATGTTGCAATATTTTTGCTGCCATAACTGTGACTGCAGTGTAAAGGTTTAGAAAACCGTGTTTATGCACGCGAACTAAAGGTTTGGGATTAAAGTCGTTTTAGGACAGGTTTGGTCTCGGCTCAGCTCAGACGAGATGGTGTAGAGGTAGGGTGGCTGACTTGGAACTACAAAGTCGCAGGTTCAACTCCCCGCTATGTCCACATGTCATGGTGTCCTTGAGCAAGACACTTAATCCCCAGGTGCTTGCATAGCTGCCCACTGCTCCACCAGGGTGTATTTCACGTGTGATGGGTTAAATGCAGACAATTAATTTTGTCATTGTATGGGAACATACAATTATGACAACACATAGCACTTTACATTATTCTACTCTACTCTGCTTTACTCTACTTTACTTTACTTTACTAGCCATTGTCATTCCAGTCTGAAAACTGTGTCCACTAACAGTTGTTCAAATAGCTATCTGCAACCAAAATGAATTGGTCACAACTTTTCCACTGAAGCACATATTGAAAGATCTGAATATTATTTTAATAAAAGTGTAAGGAGTCCTTTTATTTTATTTATTTATTTATTTTTACAGCTTTTCGGTAAATGACCAACATGCATCATGTTGTTGTGCACCCCGCCTCTCCCACATCGACTGCTGAAGATGAACACCAGCTCCCCCTGACCCATTCAGAAAAGTAAAGCAGATGGATCCATGTAGATCTTCCTGAAATTATCCATCTTTAACAAGCGGTACGCCTGTGTCCCCCGTCGCTACGGGATTTGAATAGTGAGTGTTTGAGATGACTCGTATCACATGATAAAAGACAAGATGTTTCAACAAGAAGAATCCGTCCAGAGGACCTGATTTAACCTTGTTAGGTTTATCTACCTGGATTATTGAGCGTGCATCAGGACAATTTGAGATAACTGTTTTTCTGGACTGGAATTGAACAGAGAATACAAGGAAACAATGTTTTTGGTGAAAGATATTCAAGTGGGTAGGAGTTACACTGTGGAGAAGAACGGAACTAATTTATTTAAAATAATATTTTTATTATAATTATTATTATATACCGGTAGTGGTGGCCATCTTGGATTTTGACCTGGCAACCAAGTTTTCAAAATGAACCTTTCTTGCGCCTAGATGCAGCCA